CCCCAAAACCCCAAAACCCCAAAACCCCGTAATAATAAAATCCTGTTGAACCAAGATGGGGAGGGTGAAAGATGGGGTGTTTAGATGGGGCGAAGGGAGGTAGAGGGGGTTTTGAGAGGGTGGAGAGAGAGTTTAGGAGTTGATGGGTTGTTTTGGGGCTTATAGGCGTTTTTAGTGAGCAAAATCTGGGGTTTTAGGTTTTGTAGAGCCTTCTAGAAGTTCGATTTGGGCTGTGATAATTATATCTGTTATAGTTCTTGATCTGAAGCTGACTGGCTTCAATGATCAGCAACAAGGTTAGAGAAGCATTAAAAATTACTCCAAAATTGTTTTCTTGAGCGCTATTAATATAAATTTGCTGAAATATTTTAAGGATGATTTTATTAATCATAACCAATTTTTCAAAATAAATACTTTCTCTACCCCCTACAGAAAAATTTTCTTCAATTAAGAATCAATAAATAGGATAAGGTCTCAATGAAATAAGGAATAGGCTAGAGAGAGATCTGGAAGGTGATTACAGTCCAAAAATATTAATTATTTCCATAATGGTAGATGCTTTTAATGACTTCTTCCTAAGACTGGAAATAGTTCTGACTTGCTATAAGCATACCAGCGCTCTTGAGAGAGCAAGGAATTATATTCTTGTTATTAATAAAGACTATTCACACTTTTTCCTCATAATCTGTTCCAATAAACTTTAAAGATACATAAAGGTATTAAAGTCTTTGATGATTTAAGCCTGGTCGATAAAGCCAGTTGATTAAAATCGAGGGCCAAATGTCTTCCCTTCTACTCTCTATCGCTCTTACAAATCTTCAAGTAAATCCTGAGACTTTTGCTGTGACTATGAGCTTTGCCAAAATTCTCTGTCTTCAAAGTTTCAGGAAGGTAATATTTTCTTAGATGTAATCCGGAAAATTTTCAGAGTGCAGCATTTATGAGTTAGAGGAGATTATATAAGTTTGTTAGCCTAAAATAAAGCCTAATTAATTAAGAAGATCTATTCCTTGCGTTCTAATAGCAACTCATTACTATAATTTGAAAGCTTAGGCTATCATATCAAAAGAAGTCGTGCCCAAAATATCGAACATTTTCTGATTAATTAACAATTTTCAAAATGGTAGGTTAAAAGCAAGAAAAGTTATTGCCTTCCAATAAGCATGAAATAAATTTAGTGCATATCGTATATAATTTAAGGCTTATACCTCCTGTTGATACACGAGAAATAACCTTATGTTAATATTAAGGAAGGTTACAGTAAGTCGAAATGGAGAAATTCTTCATGAATCGTAGTACGACAACTGTTAGCTTTATTAGTTAGAGGCTGAAATTTGAAGTTGTACCAAAGTAAATGTGTCTCGAGGATAATTGAGCAATTAAAGCAGACAGACGGGCTGTAGTATTTGCTCTGTTATATATTAGGTTATTGACTAATATGTACTTTTCTATTTATGCTAGCTCGTTCGAACACAAGAAACTTTCTAAAATATATAAATAATCCCAAAATTATCAAAGAACTTAAGAAATTTGTCCCAAAAGGTACTCTCTCCTGGGATGCTAAATGGAGCTAGTAATATAATTAGAAGATTAAATTATTTAAGAATTCAAAAAGACAAATTCATAAAATTAATTTTAAAGATGAACCTCAACATTCCATTGAATTTTAGAAATCAAGGTTGCTTACCCATTTGAGATTATACAAGCATGGTCATGCAACTGGAAAAGATGTACTGCTTATGCCCATCATCGAAAGAAAGCTTACCACATCTGGACAGCTTTTGTACTAATATTACTCATCTTTTGAGCTTGACAGAAGATGTTGTAAGCTCACACTCCGAAAAAAGGTAAGCTTTGCCTCAAAGATTGGTTAATAACCTATATATGTGTTTCTTTGTTGTAATTCTCTTAATTATGCCAAAATATAGTCCTAAAGAGAATTCTGAGGCAAATAAGCAATTTAAGACTCAGCCATCAGAGAAGCAAACTGAGAGTGAAAATATCCAAAGTCAAGTAAATTTTCAAAAATGCCAAGCCCAACAGGAAGAAGCAAAAGATAATCAAATAGATAAGAGAGTAATTTCAGCTAGAAGAAGACGCTCGTCAAGATTTAATATCAGGGCTAGACTTGTGAGAATGAGAAACCGTATCCTTAAGGATCCTACTTGTCAATTCGAGGCTTCTTCTAAGAAGCTAAGAGGAACTGATGATGCGAGTCTAGGAAGAAGATCTAGATACATTGGAATTTCAAGAAACAACTCCAGCTGGCAGGCTCTTATCAATGTGAGAAACGTCAAGAAGTACATTGGAACTTTTGACGATGAAATAGAGGCAGCAAAGACCTATGACATATTCGCAGTAGCTATGAGAAGAGAGAAAGCCCTTCTAAATTTCAGCTACACTGCTCAAGAGATGTTATCAGCCATAAACCACTTTCTCGAACACGGAACTATCAACACTCCCTCCTAAATTACCATTCTAACAATCTTCCACTTATCCCTCCCTACCCATCCCATTCCCTTCCTTCACTCCCTCTTCGCTTCACCAAAATCCCCCATCTCCGTTCCTATAAAATTACCCAAGCACTATAATCCAATTACTTCCACTCAACACGGGGTTTTGGGGTTTTGGGGTTTTGGGG